GGGCATTCACGATGTTTTTCTGCATACCACACATAAATTTTGCTCTGGCAGTACACTGAACTAATCCTGTGTGACAAAAATTGGCCCGCACGCACTCGGATGTGAAAGGACAATTGACGAGCCCAACCCCCGCAGGTGTGCCATGCAGCGACAAAATATCGGCGAAACACGCGTGTATGGGATTTTGGCTACTTCCTGTGCTGTTAACATGGAATCACTTTACACTTAAGTTTTAAGAAATCCGTGTGTGCATGGTGTAGCCTGGTGAGCACGGCATGCGGCTCGGGGGCTCAGAGGAAAAAAACTGACCGGCAATCGGTTTCATCGGGTATGCCACCGAATGTATATTCCGCACTACAACAGTACCACAAATAATAGCTTTTTGGATGTAACACTGGTTTTACCGTACTTCGACTGTAGGTGCCACCCAAAGATTAGGCACGGCTTTGCTGAACAATTTATTTTTTAAGTTAAGGTTACTTAGGATGATTCATTTGCAGCATATAAGCTGTCCCGAAATGTGTCTGCGATTAGAAAGCACAACCATAGGAGGGCTTATAAAATTTGGAATTAGGTAGATTAATCGCACAATATCTCAGTCATTACAGGAGCTGTCTTTTGGATGCTCTTCGTTCCGGCCAACTATAAAAAGCAAACTTGGTAAAAATGACAACTTGAATAGCATAAGTTGTTCTGATTGTTCTTTGATGCCGGTGTAGATTCAAATGTCCGTCATATATAACCCGCACAAAATATCTTTCCATGCACCTATCTGCCAACAAAATTTGCCTTAAATAAAAGGCATGCTCGAAGAAAGCGCTTTCGATTTCCGAATAGTTTTCATGCCTACTCGAATTTGTAAGGTTTCAAAATCATGTACTGTATATTTGATATGTAATGCAAGTTGTATAATTCCATAGCCGACATACAGCGCCCAAAATCGGAAAGTGAATGTGTGCCATGTTGTATAGTTCATAAGCAGCAGTGGAAGATGGACAGATACGATGCCTGATTAATATACATTTCAGGATACCAGAATGATAAGTACAAAAATCGCATTTAAATCGAGTAACACATCATCATGCATGACTAAGATACGGGACGTGATATGCTGTCAGAGGAGTACAGGAAAGTTTATTTTTGCACATTATATCGAAAAAATAAACCAGAATATATTAATATGAAATATTTGTGCTACAGAAATAATGCCTTTTTCAGCACGACTTAAATGTCATAGGATTGTACTGCATGAAAATTAATATACAGTAGATGTATTAACTCATAAAATGTCAACCGAAATTTCGAAATGCGTTCTCGTTTCGTAAAGAAAAATTAAGTAGTTTTGCAAAACTTATCATGATGCAGCATAAGTGTATAATGATTCAGTTACCTCAGGGTGCCAGCTTTCGAAAGAACTTATTTTCGGCTGCATGAAAATCTATACTCTGCAAAAAATGACTATTTAATTAGCATGCAATTTTATTACTGATTTTCGATGCCCTTGAAAATTCAATTATATTTCATGGAAAACATGCATAAAGATATTCATTCTCTTACTTATTCGGTGGGAAATCAGGTCTTCTTCCAATTTCATACTCAAAAAAGAGTATAATTCGGTTTTAAAAAAGTTTCTAATTGTGAGATTTTTTTATACCGTAAAATGGCTGTTCATGCAACGTCATGTATGTGCATTTACGAATGTGGCTTGTAAAGTTAACAATATTGCTCAAATCCACTGCTTAATTTTATGAACCTCATATGGTCTCCTCTTAACACCGTAGAGAAATGCATGCGTAACTTTTGGAATATGAAATGGATGCTTGCAATAGGTGGGCTTACACTTGAAACGTTAACCGAAAATTTAAAATGCGTTTTCGTTTGGAAATGATTGATTAAGTAGGGGTGTAAAACTAGTTATCATGTAGCATGATTCAATAATAATTCAGTTACCTCAGGATACCGGATTTCGAAAGAAACCCTTTGCAGCCGCATTCAAAAGAACCATACTCTAAAAATTTACAACTTGAGAAACTTTATTTTTTCATGCTGATTTTCGTCGTCATTATGAATTCAAATATATCTTGTAACAATGCATAAAAATATTCATTCATTACTCATTTGGTAGACAATCACTTTTTATTTCAATGTTTACCTTGCAGAGGGGGTATTGTTCGGTTGTAAAAAGTTTCTAATCGTTAGGTTTTTCAAAACCGGCAATTGTCTATTCACAAAAGAGTGTGTCTTTGCATTTGCTAACTAAACTTGTAAACTTTATAATATGGTTTAAATTCGCTGTTCAATTTTTAGAAATCCATATGATCTCCTCCTGAGACCGTGAAGAAATGCACGGTTTCGCGTACGCTTAAAATTTACGGCCTTTTTCAGCGAGACTGTCGGACAGTCGAAACAATATTTGCTCAAAATCTGGCAAACTGGCGCGACTGAAATGTTATGGGATTGTACTGCATGAAAATTGATATAATAACCTTATCTAAGAATCTCTTTCGTTTAAAAGCAGATGCAAGACTTTTGGTCAACATTGCTTGGGATTGATTAGTGGCTGTAGAGCAAAATAAAATTTCTTAGACTTTAAAAATTTTATGCAGGAGACGAGACTCAGTCGTACACTTACGTTTAATGACTTAAACTGTATCTTTTGTGTGATCATACATTTAACTATCCCAACGTGTAACTTTCCGAATATGAACAGTATGCCTATAATTATTTTCATATTTACAATAACCGGCCTCCACCAACAACCTCCTGTGCATTTTGTTCTTGCTAACGATTTTGTAGTTCGCAGATAAAGGAATTGTAGTATTTATTTCGGCAGCAAAAAACGAAAAATGAGACGGGAAGACTAATAAAGTTCCACAGCTAAGAAGCACGTAGTGTGAAAGACTTTGCGTGTGGAGCTTGCTGTTGCTTCCGCCACCTGAACTTTCAACATCAAAAATCGAACTCTACTGTAAGTTCTCTTTCACGGTGGACGCTGCATGCTGTCTGGCATGGCGCAGGCAGAAATTCGCATGACCTTTTCATTTTCTTCAGTCGCTGCTTCAGGTGGGATGACCCCAGACTGCAGATAAACGGATATCTGCACTTTAACCCACATTGGGTGCTAACCAAACCTTTACAAAAAAATTCTCATCTGCATTCTTGATGCCAATTTCTCACTCGTGGGCAGCTTTATGTGTGCCGCAGTCTCTTGATTTTAAATCCAGATAAATTTAGGTTTTTCCCGTTGAACTATCCAATCTGGAGGTGAATATGAAAAGGAATTAGAGCAGACCAACTCAGCAGTTCAAATTATAGGTAGATGATACTTAACGAAGCATAAGACTACAGGTGCATGTGATGTGAGAGCGGATTCTGTGGGCAACAACGGTCAGACAGACAGTCAGCGTAAAACCCGCCGCATTACTTGTGTGCGGTCTCATCGCAAACAATTATGAAATAACAGACTTAATAAGTACAGTTAGGTGGGGGTTTTCCCTACGAACTTACAGACAGAACTCGGAGGTCGTGACCCATTCAAGTGAACAGCTCCCATAATTCTTTCCAGAGGTTTGATCAAAACCCACTGAATACCATTAAAGAGTTCAAAAACTGCTCTAAAACAGATAAAGCCACTCTGTACCTGATGTTCAGAAATGATAAAGTTGACTGAATGAAACGTTTAAAGTGCTCTACCGCAGACAGTCCGAAATTACCTAGCGTGCCCAATGAAGTGCAAAACATTGATAACGAGCCACGACCTTATGCGAAATTCCACCAAAAACACCAGTGCACTGTGCCAACAACATGAGATTGTAGTCCAGTTTTACAGTTCTTTGTTCGCTGATAAACACATTGTGGCGGCAGGTAAAGAACTTAAATATTCCCCGACTTTGTGAATTCGCTGGGCTCAGACTTAGCAAGATGACAAATGTTATATAGGGCCAAGCTCTGTGTATGGGTATGCGAGGACTTTAGAGTTTAAAGTTCACTGTTGTCACCATTACCTGAACTGTGAGCCTTATAAATCGATTAATTTGCACTCCAAATTACAAAAGATATCCAGAATTCCCCCACGGTATTGTCATCTCTAAAATGCAGCATCGCAAGTTCTTTATCATGTGCGTGGACCTAGCATGCTGTCTAAAATTATGCAGACAGAAATAAGCATGACCTCTTTAGTTAATTCAGTAACTTCTTTAATTGAATTCGCCCCAGACTGCACGCAAACGGACATCTGCACATTAGAACTCACTGCGTACTAAGTTACCGTTAACAGCGAAATTCCACATTTGTAGTATTGATGCGATTTTTTTCAATTTTGGACAGGTTTAAGTGTGTCGCAACCTCTCGCTCTAAATCTATATAATTTTGGGTTTTCCCTGCTGACCTAACCAATCCGCAGAAGTGCATAAAAGAGGAATTAGAATTGTCTAACACAACGTTAAAAACTATCCTTGGCTGATCCAAGCCAGAGGTAGCTGAAAGAAATGCGCATTCTAACATAATTCAACACGTGAAGTTTGCGTGGGAGTAGATTATGCGAACAACAAATGCCAGACAGACAGTAAACGAAAGACCCGCCGCATAATTTGTGTGCGGTCACATGGCGAACTATTATGGGATGGTAGACTTAATCAGTACAGTTTGACCGGGGTTTTCCCTACGAATTGACAGACAGAACTGGGAGGGCTTGGCCTATCCAAATGAAGCCCTCATATATTATTTTCATGGAGTTAGGTGAAAACCAACTTGATGCTATGCAAGTGTTAAAAAGTTCCTTTCGAACAAATAAGGCGACTTTGTAACATAATTGGAAAAAAACCTTGACTGAATGAGAAGTTCGAAGTACTCCACAGTGGACGGTCTGGTGCTAAATAGTCTGGCCGATGACGTTTACCGTACTGATCACGTGACGGTGTTTCTTGTGACATCTTCACAGATCTGTGCAGGTTTTACGGCACGAAGCTTCATTTAACCCGGCTTACGCCAACCCTGTTAACATGATTGCAGCAGCAGAATCAATCTTTAGTCAGACGGAGACAACGAAGGAGACTGAGAGCCTCATCCGACATCAGGTGTTGTCTCTTCTAATGGCCCACAGGCCGCAGGAAGTGCTGCCCAAGGTCGAACGTGATGAGCTTAGAGAACTCAAGGCCGACAAAAACCTGATCATCGTGCCAGCAGACAAGGGGCGCTCCACGGTTGTACTGTACGGGACAGACTACCTTCAAAAAGCCAAAGGTTTACTGGAGGACCGACAGTTCTACGTCCCATGTGCAACTAACCCTGTTGAAACGCTGACACGCGAAATCAATGCTACGTTGGCCTCGGAGAACTCAGATGCAATAACGCCGACCGACAGACGCAGGGCGAGACCCCAAGATACGGTTTTGGACAAATTCTATGGCCTCCCTAAGGTGCACAAAGACGGCGCTCCTCTCCAACCCATTGTGTCGATCAAAAGTACTCTAACGTACGGACTGGCTAAGTGGCTGTTCCGGCGTCTGAAGTTCCTGACCGCTGAGTCAGACACCACGGTCTCTTGGTCAGCAGAATTCCTGGAGAAACTCAAAGGGGTAAGCCTCCATCCAAATGAGGTCATGGTATCCTTTGATGTTACGTCCCCTTTTTAATTCTATTCCCCAGGACCTGGAGATCGGGACAATCGAGCTGATTCTACAAAGCAAATACGATGAAACGGCGAATCGTCTTGGACACGCCCAAGTCCTTCAACTCTTGAAGTTCTATCTCAGGACGTACTTCACGTTCGACGGGACAGTCTATGAACAGGTGAAGGGCACACCAATGGGTTAGCCTATTTCGGGATTCCTCGCCGGGGCGGTCCTGCAACGGTTAGAGTCGCTGGTCTTCCAACACCACAAACCGAAGTTCTGGGCTCGGTATGTGGATGATACCTTTGTCGTTATCGACCGGGATTAGCTGCTAATATTCAAGGAGCATCTGAATGCGGTATTCCCAAATATACAATTTACGATAGAGGGGGAGAAGTAGGAGAACAACCAGCTGGCCTTCCTGGATGTCCTCGTATGTCGCAAAGATTGTGTTGGCCTAAAGACCAAATTGTTCAGGAAAGCGACAAATATGATGCAAATACTGAACTTCAACCGCAACTACCCAATCAGCTACAAACGCAGTTGTGTAAGGATACTTTATCGGCATGTCGAAACGCACTTAGTAACTTATTCGATTGGAATCGTCCCAGACTTCAGTCAAACGCATAGGTACACACTAAAGCACACTGCGTGTTAAAGTAACCTTTACAGGAAAATTCCAAATTTGTTGACAATTTTTCAGTTATGGGGAGATCTAAGTATGTCACAACCTCTCGGTCTGTATCCATATAAATTGGGGTTTCCCTGCTGACCCAATCAATCCCAAGAAGTACATAAAGAGGAATAAGAATTAGCTAACAAAGCATTATAAATTATCCTCAACTGGTACAAATCAGACGTGGAGCGTAGAAATAAGTATTATAGCATAATTCAGAACGTGAAGGTTGCGTGGGTGTAGATTCGTCGAGCAGCAAAGCTCAGACAGACGGGCAACGAAATACCCGCCGCATAATTTGTATGCGGTCACATCGCGAACTATTATGCAGGGGTAGAATTTATTAATAAAGTTAGGTCGGGGTTTTCCCTATGAAATGACATGCAGAACTCGGAGGACGTGATCCCTTCAGATGAATTGCTCCTGTAATAAGTTCATGGGGTTAGGTGTGAAACAGCTTAATACCATCCAAGTATTCAAAAAGTTGCCTTTAATCTAATAAGACAACTTTGTAACATAATTGAGAAAAAAGGATGAATTCGACTAAATATAATGGTAGAGGGGCGTTCACCGGTCATTCAGATAACGGGCCGGTGGTGCAGTGGTTAGGCGTGTTGGACTTCTAACTAACAGGTCGCGAGTTCGAGCCCCTGATGTTCCACACTTTGAGGTTGGGTATGACTGGCTGACGGCAGCTAATAAGCCAGAAATGGCATTTTAGGTCTCCCTTGTCTTTATTGGTAATAACATTCTACTGAATATATTTTTCGAAGTACTTTATCGCGGACGGTCCCAAACTGCATTGTCTAACCGATGGACTTCAAGATATTCATCACGTGACAGGATTTCTTGTGAAATCTTCACATATCTGCGCAATTTGTTAGAGACTATCGTTTGTGCATGCGACCATAAAGAACTTCCTTCGAAAACCGACATCCTGATGTAACTGAATTATCACAGAAGTGTGCTGCATGATGATTAATTTTACAGCACTACTTAACTAGTTTTTTCGAAACAAAAACGCATTTCAGAATGAGTTAGCACACCTACTGTACTAATATTTGCCTATTTACAATAACCCGTTCCTAACACCAATATAGCCCGGTGAGCTGTTTTGCCTTCATTGGCGTGAACACAGCATGATGTCTAAAATGATGAAAACGGAAATTCACATGACCCCTCATTTGATTTAGTAACTTATTTGATTGTCATCGTCCCAGACTTCAGTCAAATACACAGGTGCACACTAGAGCACACTGCGTGTTAAATTAGCCTTTGCAGGAAACTTCCAGATTTGCAGTATTGATGCCAATTTTTCACTTATGGAGAGATTTAAATGTGCCACAACCTCTCGGTCTAAATCCATATAACTTTGGGTTTCCCAGCTGACTTAACCAATCCCAAGAATAACATAAAGAGAAATACGAATTAGCTAACACAACATTAGAAATTATTCTCAACAGGTACAAATCTGACGTGGCGGGTCGAAATGCGTATTATAGCATAATTCAGAACGTGAATGTCGCATGTGTGTAGAGTCTGCGAGCAACAAAGCTCAGCCAGACGGGCAACGACATTTCCGCCGCATAATGTGCATGCGGTCACATCGCGAACTATTATGCAGGGGCAGAATTAATTAATACAGTTGGGTCGGGGTTTTCCTTATGAAGTGACATGCAGAACTCGGAGGGCGTGACCCCTTCAAATGAATTGCTCCTATAATATTTTCATGGGGTTAGGTGAAAAACAACTTAATGCCACCCAATTGTTCAAAAAATTGCCTTTAATCTAATAAGGCATTATTGTAGCATAATTAAGAAAAAGGATGAATTTGCCTGAATATAATGGTAGAGGGGCGTACACCGATCGTTCGGCCGACGGGCCGGTGGCCCAGTGGTTATGTGTGTTGGACTTCTAACTAACAGGTCGCGAGTTCGAGCTCCTGGTGTTCCACACTTTGGGGTTGGGTATGACTGGCTTACGACAGCTAATAAGCCAGAAATGGCCATTCAGGTCTACCTGGTCTTTAGTGGTAGTAACATTCTACTGGATGTAATGTTTGAAAACCTTTATCGCGGACGGTCCGAAATTGCATAGTCTGACCGATGGAGTTCAAACTGTTGATCACGTGACACGATTTCTTGTAAAATCTTCACAGATCTGCGCAAGTTGCCCAAACCATGAGTTCCAGTTAAAAGTCAACTTTTCCACGAGTATACGCAACCGCTGGCGACTTGGGTCCTCAGTGCACTCCACAATGTTTGCCTCGCTGTTTTGCTGAATCCTTATTGAAGATGAATAAAACCTTATTGATTTTGTAAAAGGCAGTATTGTGGGGATTCAAGTGACCGGGACTTGACTATTTGTGGTCGATGCCGACAATTTAATGTAGAATGCAATTACAGACAGTCGGTATTTCCGAAAACCGCGTTGGGTCCATTTAACTAAGGACAGCAGATAACTTAGTCAATTCGAATATAATAGAGACTTTGCATTAATGCAAATATGGATACTTTTTTAATAAAAATCATGTATTTAACAATTTTTACTGCGTTCGAAACAACGGGCTGCTTTACGGTTAAGCAGTGCATCCGTCAACGTTCTTCACACTGATTTTTGGTTTACGAACCACGGCACACTATTAAATAATTCGTTTTTGAAATTATTATGCACGGCAATCGCGGCATTATTTTATGACTAGTCCCGAAATTTTAAGGAAAAATAAATGAAAGGCAGTCGCATTCATCGGAAGTACCACCCAATGCCTATTCTAAATACAAGCAGTAGAATTATTTAGAGAATTCGGATGTAATATGTGTTTGACAGCAACTCGACCACAGGGCGTTCAAGAAAAATAATCTCCAGTTCCATAAAGTATATCATGCGAAGTTGACAGTCAAAACATGAGGTTTAAAAGCCGTTTCCAAAATCTTGATAATGATTGAATCGATGACAACCAAGTTATTTGAAAAACTTCTCAATTCCCTTTTAAGTGATAAGTAACACTTTGAGCAGCAAAATTTCCAAATTACAAGTTTTCACCACGCTCCAGACAAAGGTGAATGCAAAGAGGCCGATGTTTCCGCTACTGCTTAACAAAGACACAGTATTTTCGACCACATTTATTGCGGCCAAGGGCTGGCGGTACCGGCGTTTCAGATATGGGTTCCATATATAAGTATAAATCTAACGGTCTCTTGAATTAGTTACCGTTTGATGTCCGGATATGACTGTTTACTAAAATTCCGCACTCTAACTGAACGTTTAAGTTGAATTCAGTCATATTCAGTAAAGGAACTCTGTAAGGCTTTTTTAGATATACATATCGTTCTACGATTAGCGCTGATAAAAAATGTCCTTACAAGAACTCATACGAACTTTTGCTAACTTTTGCTGCGACTTTAGGGTTTCATGTAAGTTACAATAGATATGCCAACCCATGAAATGTTAACCGCAATTCTGAAATGCATATTCTACTCGAAAAGATTTTCTAAGTACGGTTGTAATGTTAATTACCAAGCAGTAAAATCCAGAGATAATTCAGTTATTTTGGGACGCCAGCTTTTGAATGAACTTTTTTGCGACTGCATGAAACAGCTGCATTCTGTAAAATATGTTTACTTCTGTAGTATGCATTTTTCCTTGTTGCTTTTTATTTTCCTTAGAAGTTAACTAGGAGCTCGGATTAGTTCAGTATATTTATGGTTTATAGACTGAGACCAATTATTTTATGCATGAAGATTTGGGCCAAAATCCATCATCCACAGCGGATAACCGCGTAAAATTCATCAAGTCTCGACAGGCAGCTATTAGTATACGTAAATGTAAGGTGTTTCCATACTAATAGCGCAGGTTGTACCCAAAATCTCATACACGCGTGGTTCGACAGTATTCTGTCGCTGCATGACACAGCTGCGTGGGGTTTGATCATCAGTGGATCGCACAGAATTCTGCTGTTAGTATGGTATCTCCTTACCCTAAAAGTTTACTACTAGCTACCTATCAGCAGTTAATGAACATTACGCGGTTATCCACTGTGACTGATGGATCTCGGCCCAAATATTCATACATAAAACTTTGGTCTGAGCAAATAGACCTTAAATAAACTGATTTACTACATGGTCGCAGATGATGTCTAAGAAAATTTAAAAAGCAACGAATTCTAAACTGGAGTATCTGCCAGAAAGCAGACAGGGAATGCTGTGGGACACTCTGACGAGCCGAAACCCTGCAGCTATGTCATGTATGGACAGAAATTCGGCGAAATACGTGTGCATGGGCTTTTGGCTACAACCTGTGCTGTTAGAATGCTGTTAGTATGGAATCACCGTACCGCATTTATTTTCGATGCTCATATAAATTCCAAAATATTTCATGAAAAACATGCATAAAAGGATTCATTATTTCACTCATTCAGTTGAAAATATGTCTTCCATTTTTTTCTTTGAATGAATGCAATAATTCAGTTTAAAATGGTTTCTAATTATGAGAGGTTATGACCGCGAAATGTCCGTTCATAAAACATC